TATATATATATAATTCGTAATTTTCATCTTACATTTTATCTTTATAGCATATTAGTGTGGATATATGGAACACATAAGACGCTCGACATATTAGCTGGACCATATCAAACATATTTATATACATAAAACTTCGTCAATTAACATCATAACATCACATTTAATAAGAGAAAATGACTTCTGCTAAAGCTGACGGTAAAAACGTAACACAATTATATAATATATATTATACGATTAGAAAGGATACACAATAATGATAGCGCTACTTGAAACGTTGTTGTGAAAAAATGTAGAGATTACGTTTACAAGGTTGTATAATACGTAGCCATAGAGTGCAAAGTAATACGTCTAATGTTCCGGAAAACAGCTCCGTATTTCCAAAGCCTGATTATGATTTTTATACAGATGATGCATGCTCAATCTCACACCATCTCTTAAGTAAGATACTTAACATTAATGGTACGGATGTTGAGGAAGTTATACAAACTTACATCTGGAAAAATCTCTTGTTATAATCCATGTAGAAGATTATTCATATAACTAAAACGTTTCTCTAACAATCTAATTCGCTAATGTATCATGGAATGTAAACAAGGTGTCAATGCATTTACAAATTACAAGGTGTGTATCATCACTGTTATTTACTCGTAACTTAATTTGATTCGATAATCATACACAAACATTTTGTGAACACTTGTTAACTTCTATGAATCAGTTATGAATCTCGAAGTATATTCTTACTAATCTTACTTTATAGATTATGCTATGAGAAATGAAATGATCACGGAAACATTTATCTCATCCGTTTAAAATATCCTTAACGACCCGATCGTTACCTAATACTAATATGCTTTATTATCCGATATTCACTTAAATAGTAAAAAATATTGGCAGATTCAATGCTGTTATGTTCTTTGAAACATTGTTTTCTTTTCGTTTTCTTTTTTGGTTTTTGAGCTCACAGTATCAGTAAACCGATAACTCCTTATTGCATTATTTCTTATTCCGCGATTTGTGCGTAATCATAATAACAATCGGTAAACAATATGAAAGAGATGAGAACTAATTTAAAAACATACACAAGTTTGGAAGACATCACAAAAAGAAAATAAATGAAAAGTAATTTTTCGGCACAAAACTCTAAACAACAAGGATGTTTACGAACAGAATAATCTTGCTGTACTATATAAAGCCTCAATACAGGTTTTAAATTTATTCACGTATTATACTCACGAGCTATATGTATGAATATTATATAATACACATTAGATAGCATTTTGACAACAAGATATTACGAAGTTAAAAATCTCTAGCTGCGTTTCATTAAAAACTTGAGGTACTTGCCGCTCAAATAACAGTTAGATATTAGATATGATCCTGCAAAGGTAAGTTATACAGTATACTAATCCTTGTGAATCCGTGAACCTCTTAATATCATAACTAGATTCTCGTAATTTTTTTTTTAACTTGTACAATTTGTGTGTCTCATGAAATAGTACACTTGTGTGAATATGTTACATGTACAGAGAGCGGTATTAAACCCGCTAGCGTAACTTTATTCGGTAATTATTTCCATGACATGGGATAAATAGCTAGTATAACAAAGGTCACGCGTAAACCCTTGGTACCTCGCGTTTACAATAAATTACTATTTCCCTAGGAGCGATATTATTGGAACACACCATTAATAGTCATCTTTATATCATTTCCCTTCCCCCCCCCCTTTGCATCTGTGATAACTGTACTAGTAAAAAAGATGTTGTCAAATATATCATTGTCAGTTGTTGTTCGTCTTGATGGAGCCTCCATATGATAAATTAAAATAAAAAATACAAAGCAAACGTATATTCTCTGTATATATAACTAATTTGTGAAAAATAAATATTTGCTCATAATTTATGATTACTGGTTAACCACGTAAGGCCTTCATAAAGCCCGTCTCCCGTTGTGGCACAAGATGGCTGAACGTACCAATTTCTATCTCGTATCCTAGTTAATCCCAGTTTCTCTTGTATTTCGTGCGGTTTCATTGCTAAAGAAAAAACAAAGTACGGGCGAAAATTCGTATGTTGTGCTAAACTATATAAAGATAGCACATGTATACAATGCATCTACTTTACTATTTATATTTATAACTGCTAACAAATATCGTAATATAATAACGATGTAAATATCGTAATGTAAATATGACTTACCATCCGGAAGATCTTGTTTATTAGCAAAGATTAAAATTATCGCATCACGCATTTCCCTATCATTAATGATTCGATGAAGTTCTTGACGGGCTTCGTCGATTCTATCTCGATCCGCACAGTCTACTACAAAAATAAGTCCTTGCGTTCCTGTATAGTAATGACGCCATAACGGACGTATTTTATCTTGACCACCTACATCCTAAAAATAACAGAAATATTTCATTTAATTAAGAGCAAATAATTTACACTTTTATAAAGAAAAAGCTTCATACTCACCCACACATTAAATTTAACATTCTTATAGGTAACTGTTTCTACATTGAATCCTACAGTTGGTATAGTTGTCACAGACTGTCCTAGTTTAAGTTTATACAATATTGCTGATATAATTTCATTAAGGAAGTAAATTTATATACGAAAGACAAATTAAAAAATATTTTTTTTACATATTATCATACATTATATAACATATAATTGATTCAATTATAAAACGATGCAGCCAAATTATGTAACGTCTTGCTTAGTAGAAAAAAAATCAAAAGTAAAATAAATGTAGGAATAATAAATATGTAAGACTCGTAATTACAGTGTCGTAAAGGATACTAGTTTTTCCTGCTGCATCCAGTCCTAACATGAGGATACGCATCTCCTTGTTGCCAAAGATCTTTGACAACAATTTGCCCATTTTGCCAGCTGTGTTCTACGCACCCGGCACCTGTACTTCACAAAGTGCACAATGTATAATTAACGGTTTGTCTGGAATTTTAAACTTATCTAACAGCACCGCGTCCTTCTGTCACCGCGGATCTCGGATATCTTCTGTCATTATCATAATAATGGAATGCATGGATACAATTTAACAAAACGTATTCACATACAACAAGTTTTGGCACGATATTACGTTAAGATCTCGCGGACGCGTAAAAACCAACGGTGATCGATCGGTCTGTCGCGTAGAGGAATAAAGAGCGAAGCTCTCGCCGTATCGTATTCGTGTCAAGCTTGGCGGAAATCGACGTGGAAATCGTTTAAAGCCCACGTTTAAATCCCACGTCTTATCTGTGCACTCTTACCGCTCTCGATCGCGCGGAATCGATCGACGATTACCTCGGCGTCTAACCTCCGCTACGAATCTCTCATCGCGGTTGGAGACGCGTGCACTGGAGATGATCTGTAGGCGAGACGCGACTTCGATTCTTCGGCAACGCGGATAAACACGGACGAGGCAGCGGCCAACACGTCCCCTAACCTATCTGCGTGCGCGAACATCATCGGCTACCGCTACCGCTACCGCCACCACCACCACCACCACCACGACCATAACACAGGATGTAATCCTCGGTGCGTGATATTTGCTCGTTTTAGCTGCACTTTCTGCATTCAAAACAGATAATCTCGCGTTCGTATCCCTCGCATTTCCCTTCGTTTGTTTCCACTGGTATAAGATCGAAAAAAGTATTTGAGTAAAAACGACAGCTCGATTTAAAACCTCGCGCGTTGACTACATTGGCTGCTTTCCATTTTGGTGACATAAACATCATTTTTATCTTTCTTGGCATTCAGTGAGTAACAAAGGTACAAAAGTGTCGTTTTACCTTTGTTACTTACTGAATGCCAGAAAGATAAAATGATATTTGTGTCGACTTGTGTCACTAATTGAAAAGCACCTATATTTAGTGTATAAATATATATATATATTTTTTTTTTATATATAGATTATTTTGATAATTTTATATAGAATTATTTTGTAGAATAATCGTGAATGGATAGCAATCATATGTGTATAACTTTTTCTTTAGACCGGAAACATGAAAAAAAAATTTCATCCACGATGATGGTAAGTATTTTTTATTCTTCATGTTTTCGCCTTTTAAGAAAAAAAGTTACATAATCACTTCCTGATCTCTGTATATTCATTATTTTATTTAATCCGGTTAATCTGTAATATATTTGAATTAATGAAACACGTCGCTTATAGATGTAATACCTATCCTTTTAATTTGGTCTGCACACTTCAATCGCATTTCTGATCGCTTTTGGTATGATATTCAAAATGAAATGGACGTACAATCAGCTTACAAAAAGGAGAAGAGGAAAGGGAAAGAAATGTGGGAAATACAAACTGAAGAAGCTGATTCAAAAATTATATATTTATAACTCCCTTATTTAAAAATTTATTTTGAATGTAGGAAGGAGAGGGTGTAACAAAAGTGCAGCTGAAACATACCTAACGGAACGCGCATATATTCAAGTCGTCGAGATCGACATCAAAGGTGCAGGAAGTGCAAAACGAAAGGAACGGACTGCTCCGCTCTGCTCCGCTCCGCGCCGCCCGAAACGGAAAGGCGTGTTCATGTGTGGGCGAAGAGACAGAAACGAACTTTTTATCGGGCTGCGCTAATTCGTTCTGCACGTCAGGAATGTCTGGATTGTAATAGTAACAGGTTCTGAGAGAAGGGGGAGAGAGAGAGAGAGAGAGAGAGAGAGAGAGAGAGAGAACTATAAGAGCTTAGAGCAAGGAGAGAAGACCGAGATAGAATTCGCTTCGACGTTCGCGGGCTATCGATCGTTGGCGACGAAAACGTTGTAAAACGTTTCCAGACAGTCGTACGAAAAATGTAGTTTCGTTTGTAGCGATTGGCTCGCGATTCGCCGTTTCGAGCGGTGACATGCGGTCAAGAGGAGGGATTGGAGAAACCAGCAGAGACAGAGAGAGAGGGAAGACAGGAGCGCGAAGCAACTCACCGAAAAACATCTGCAGAGTAGAACGAGTACTTGACTGTTGATAATACTACACGGACACATCACAATAACGCTGCGCATAATTTTCTGTCGGTCGATTTAACAGTTCCCACCTCGTACGCTCAGGAAAAAGCGTTATTTCATCGTCGTGTCAGGCACGACACGACGGCATTGTCGTCGTCACGTCTCTCCGTAAATTACAGGAATTACGGTTACGGGGCTGCGGCGCGCACAGCGCATGCAGCGCACAACGCGAACGCGCCGCGCGCCGCGCCACGTCGTTTGCTTTGCACTCTTTGCTTTGCAATCGTTTGCGTGACACCTCGCGCTATCGCACGTCGCTCAACGAAACTAACAACCTTCCGCGAGATCTCGGTAGATGTTACAGAATTGTTTAGTCCTTTTTGTACTGTCCGCACAAAAGAATGTAATAAGTATAAGGGCTGGGTATAATATTTAAAATAATTCCACTTTAAATGGTTTTTGGAAAATCATTTTCATTTTGCATTTAAAATGGAAACATATCTATCATTTTATTATTTATAAAATAAATAAATGGTTTTCCTATGTTTTCACAAATTTTCCCTAGAATCGTTGACGTATAAGAAGAACCAAGTTCCAAAGATTTTTATGAATATTTAAATAAACTGTAAATTAAACTGTAAAGAGAAAATTAATATCAGATAGTCCATAAATGTCGAATCTTAATACAAAAATAAATGTCCTAGCTTTACGTAAAATACTATATAGATTTGTAAAAATGTATATTACTCTTAACATCTAATCTTGACCGTAACCGGCGCTTCTCATATTAATTTGATTTATTCAAGTAAACGATCCCGTTTTCAAATCATAATATTAAAAAATTTAAAATATTCTCGTCAGAACTTTATTTGTAATACTATAGTCAGGGCATCAAATTCCGTTGGAAAAGGATTTTAAACGTAAAATACAATACTTTAAAAAATGTATACCATCCTAACGGAAAGTTTTTACGAAAAATTATATAGACTGAAACAAGATGTTATAAATTCTTAATTTTTCGTAGATATTTATAGGGGGACGTAGAGTAGTGTGGTTTGTTTGAAAAATCAAGAAATCCTTCACCTTCAAACAACGTCACTCTACGTCTCACTATGAATATCTATGAAAAACTATACATTTCTGAGACAAATAAACCTCACTACGTCCCACTATAAATATCTACGAAAAATTAAGGATTTCTAAGATTTTATCTCAATTTATATAATTTTTTTGTAAAAATTTTTTTTTCGCTAGGGCATTTCAAAAACCATTTTGAAAATTATTTAAAATATCTATTTATCCATTTTACATTTAAAATGGATTCGAAAAACCCATTTTGCATTTTGCATTTTAAATAC